TCATACTCGACCTCTTCAGGTGTAGCTGGTTGAAAGAAAAAGGAATCTGAATTTTGGACGGTAGGAAGGTAGTCAGAAAAATTATTTGTTGATGGAGGTAATTTTGCTGCTAGGTTGAAACCAACAGATGCAAAATGCTTATTAAGAATATTAGGAGTTCTCTCAGAGTCACGTACTATTCCAGTTCCGATTTCAACCAAACTAGCATTATTGTAAGCTTTGGTTTGTGTTAAGTGTACAAAAAATCAGGTTTAACTTAGGTCAGGCAAGGGAGTCAGACAGCCGTTTCAATTCATGTACCCGCGCGCTCTGAAAACTCGGTCGAGCCACCTTTTATCTCCATTTCTATCAAATATCCTGTAATGAGTTTTCAGCGAGTTCTGATTAATCAATACTAAATCTATTTTGACCAGTTCGCCGTTTGTACAGATGTGTAAACAAAAAACTATGTAAACGTTGATTTTTAATTTTTGAATGTTGATTAAAGTTGCACGAGTCCATTACTTTCATTCATTCTTACAGATAACTACAGCTTACCACAACGGTGAAGGTAAAGTTTATTCAGTGCTGTTCATTTACATTACTATCTTTATAGCTGTTTCATTTTGTTCTAGTTACTGTCTTTGAGAAGAAGAAAGCTTGTAATACTCCTTATCATTTGGGCTCCCTGTGTTGTAACCCCTGACCATTGCGTTAAAATCAAAGGAATCAAAACCCTGTCGTGTTATACTTATTACACTTTTAGATTTAATCAATTCACAAGAGATTCGAGGAAAGTCTTACTACTCTTCCCAGTAGACCGAGGCCGTCGTGAACTTTTCATCGCCTTCGTGTAGTGTCTGTTATCATTATCCGGAAGTGGATTTCAAATCGTCCACGTGATGCCAATGTCGTACCATGAGGACAATTTTTTTTACACCACGTGATCAAAGTGCAGTCAATTTTATATCTTTGTGCCGAGGAAAGACAAACGCGTCAAATTGAAATCTATTAAAACCGGCGAGGATATTAACCGTTTCTAAGTTTCTCTACAAAAAAAATTAATAGAATACTTCAAGTGGATTAGAATTAATTTTAGTTGAGAAATCGTTGAAATTAAAAATGCCGGGCATTTAGTCCCTGCCAAGCAGTCTGAAATAACGAGAAATGTTGTGCCACGAAGTCCTAGGAAATCAAAGAGACATTCGAATTCTGTGCAGAGCAAAGTYAAACTTAAAAACTGAAATCTATTAAGCAGAGAATAACCGTTGCAGTTCCAAAAATAGAATGCTTTAAATGGTTTARAATTTTTTCTACTCTAGAAATCGTCGAAAATCAAAGTAACCTAGCTCTTCTAGAACTCAGTTCCAATCGAAAAACTACTCGCGCAGGGCTTATCGCTTAACATGTAACCGAACTCGTTTAACTTGCAGCAACTCGTCTAACATGCAGCAACTCGTCTATCACGATGCAGCAACTCGTCTAACATGCAGCAACTCGTCTATCACGATGCAGCAACTCGT